ACAGGGATATTGGAAGAATAAATATTTGTACATGGCTTTGAAACTATAATTACTAAGTATTTTCATTAGTGACTTGTTCATAAACACGCTTTGCAGTCACTGAGGATCCAGCATTCTTCACGCAAATTATATCACCTCAAAGAAAGTACTATAAGCACTTCAGGCAATTGTTAGAAATGGCTAAGTTATTTGACGTGGATGATGGCATAAGTGTGTTATTAATGGACTGTTCAGTCAAAAACTGTAATAGTACTCTAGAAGATGGTATCTTTGTATCCACTTAGAGATGGATTTCATGCAGTTATGAAATGTTGCAGCAATATTTTTGTCTTCTCTTTTCTTGTGAGAAAAGACTGAAAGTATGTCCTTTGATTTCTGTTCTTGCAGAATATATTTTCCATAGGTAATATCTTTTTTTAAATTGAGCAACCCATCCCCTACGGGTCGGTAACAGCCTAAAAATTTAAAATATTAAGCTATATAAGCAACTATACTTGCTCCCCCTCAACCGTGATAGCTTTTATTCTAAAATTTCAGAGGTTGGGACAACTTTCTTCATATTGTGTCTGATAATTATCAGGACCACCTAGCAGTACACTTTCCCTCTTTAGCTCTGACCTATACGATGATGCTCTTCTAGCTAGATCCCAGTACTGGCAGTAAGAAAACATGCTGTCCTTGAAGAAGCACACTCTCTGTGAAGTAGAAGATGGATGCTGCTGCAAATGCATCACATGGCATCTTGTGTCAAGAAAAATGGATTGTTACTTCTAATTGTCCTGTAAAATAATTTCATTTTTTTAAAAAAGTCTAAAAACTGAACCTGTTAAGCTACCTCGTTTTCTTTTCTTCTCTTTTTCCCCCCCTCACCCCCCCTGCCTTTTGCATGTAGATAAATCAGGAGCTGGGCATCTAAATGATTTGGAGGATTCCTGGAAGAGGTGAAAACCTAAGTCACAGTGTTCAAATCTGACCTAGCAATGACTGAAACTTGGTACTTTCTGACAGCTACTCAGTAAGGCTCACAGGCTGGGAAGTGAATGGGGAATGCTTGCTGTAACTTTACTGTGAATAAAGGACTTCAGTCTCCTGATCTGACATCTCCTGGGAACACTCAAACTTGATAAAAATGAAATTAAGTACACGTGTGTGAACACTTATTTCTTGTGGTCTGATTGAAGATGGAAAGATAAATTACAGCAAACTTTTAATTAATATCAACTGGAGTAGTGCACCAGAACTAATATTCCTTGTAACAATAAAAATTAAATTCAAGCTTTTTAGTCCTGAGAGCTAGTGGTCCATTTCAGCTAAACTTGTTTATCATCATAGTTATTTCATATGGTATTAGGAAACAGTTGGTATACCCTTCATTTAAATGATCAGGCACCTATTATAGGTTAATTCCTGAATCCAGAGGAGTCTTAACTATTTTTCTATGCTCCTTTTATTCCAGGTCATATAAGAACCATTGTTTAACTGCAAGCTCATGGGACCCTATTATAGTGAAATGTTTTCCTCACAAAAGAGGTTCAGTGTAAGTAAAGGTTTTGCTGCCCTAGAAATAGAGGTCCAGTACACCCAAGTTCTGAATAAGATGGTGTTTCTGTTCAATATTTGGAGAAAATAATCATCTATGCTCATATGTCATCAACTGTGCTCAAACCCTTTATCAGTGAATCACTTTGGACACCGAGAAAAAAGACCAAGTTTCTTGTTAGGTGTGCAGTGTGGCAGAAGTGTTGCTTTGTCCTGCTCCTAAAGTAGTAGTGAATTAAACCTCCGCTTCCCTGGTCTAAGAAATTTCCACAGTAGCGACCTTGATGTGCAGTTCACTTCACAATTTTTTAAGGTGGTGGCACGTCAGCCGATGAGCTTTAGTAACTCTTGTTAGACAATGGTCACATTCTAGCGCCAGGCGCAAGCCAGGAGTCCTGACTCCCACCCTCTACTAACCACCTTTTTTGTGAAGGGCTGAGAGAATATAGTGTATATACGTCAAAGCCTACTAGGTGTTTTGTGTCAGCGACTACATCCTGTGTGTGCTCGGCGCAGGCAGGCCCTACCCCAGCGAGCTTCCCCCACGTGCTCCTGGGGTAGGCCTGGCCCTCTTGCCCCGCCGTAGCTGGCTCTAAAAGTGAAAAAGAAACTCGGTCTCGCCAGGGAGGCTGCGAACCAGCCGGCAGGCGCTAAACCACAGCGCTCACCTGATCTACCGGGGGGGGAACGGGACCCAGCATCGCCTGCCTTCCTGATTGGCACTGGGGCGGGGAGTGAGACACAAACATGTCCTGCGTTTCTGATTGGGGCTTGGAGTGAGGGGTGGGACTCTAATTGGAATGCCGATTGGCCGCCGAAGAGAGGCAGGCCTTCCGCACGCTTCTCCTTTTCTGATTGGTCCCTGGTGCGTTGCCCATCTGGTCGGGATAGGAGGGGAGTGCGATATTATCATTTCTTGCTCTTCTGATTGGACCCTGCGTAAGGGGCGGGGCCTTCGCAGGTCTCCTCCCTTCTGGGCAATGCTCAGGGCGTGGCGGCGGCCCTCCATTGGCCGAGGGGCGGAGCTGGCCGCCGCCGGGGCCCAATGGGCAGCGGGGTGCGTTGGTCAGCTCGGCCCCCGAAGCGCTGATAAGTGGCAGCGCGGGGGGGTGTTGCTGGTTACTGTCGGGGCTCGCGGGTGAGGTCGGGCTGAAGCTGGGGATGGCGGGGGCTGCCGGGGCCTCCTGCTGCCGGGGCGGAGTGGGGGGGCTGCAGCCGCTCAGGGCCACCATCCCTTTCCAACTGCAGCAGCGGCGCGGGGCAGGCGGAGACGGCGGCCGGGCAGGGTAACGGGG